AGAAAGGGCGAGAGAACGAGGGAACCCCCATTATATAACTTCTCCTTAACTGAGAATTAGTTTTGTCGAATTGTCGGCTATCAACGAATACGAACAACACGAGCATTCGGGCCGATCTACATCGTTTACGGAAGGATACGATGTGGATAGGCAGCTTGGATAGCCCACTAGACTTGGCAGAGCTATTTCGGACTTGAGCACAGTCATTATCTCTCCTGGAAATTGGTCTTGTGCTCGAGATCTTACAGAATTCAGTAGGTCTCTGATAGACGGCAACGCGGCATATTATGTAGTTGTATGAAACAGGCCCAATGAGGACTAAACACTGCGATATTAGCCCAACAAGCAATCTTATGCAGATCGCTCGGGGATCAACATACCGAGATTCAAGACAAGCATAATTTTCCACCGGTCATAACCCTGGAGGTTATACCCCGCAACATTCAGGCTTGACGTCCTTGGTATGAAGCATATACACCCGAGATCCTGAATGTCAGTGGCAGCAACACTGCACAATGCGTTTATTGCTTCTTTTCCATGCTTTACGGCTTGTGGCCTCCTTTGCATGCCACACTGACGAAGACTGCAGCTTGACAGGCATCTGTACATCAACCAAACAATGCATTTGTGACCATGGCTGGCGCGCCGCCGACTGCAGTGAGCTGGACCTGCAGCCCGTCGAGCGAAACACCGGCTACAACCATACCAACATCACCCTGCCGGACTTCTACCGCGACGGCGCAGGGAATTCCTCTTGGGGCGGACATATCATCCACGACCGAGATGACCCGACCCTTTTCCATCTCATCATCTCCCAGATAGACCGGGGCTGCGGACTCTCAGGCTGGCGACCATTCAGCACCATCATCCGCGCAGAGTCGCGTACCGGCCCGCGAGGACCCTACACCTTCGCGCAGGAGCTCTTCGGCACATTCCACCACAACCCAACCGTAACCTGGAGTCCAGCCGACAAGCTGTACCTGACGCACTTCATCGGACTGGACTGGGAGCCCCCGACAACCTGCCGCTCGATCAAGCGCAACAACTCCATTTCCGTCTCGACCTCGCCGGACCTCCGCGTCTGGAGCGAGCCCGTCGAGCTTTTAGTTAATGTCACCAATCCCGCCGCCTGCCCGCTGTGGTCCCCACACCACCATACAAGAGAGATGCTGCTCGCCACGGAAAAGAACAACATCTACACCGCGTCAAGCTACAAGGGGCCGTATTCACTCCGAGTAGAGCCGGGGTTTACAGAGATCGACCCCTCCCTGCGCAGCGAAGATTCCTTCCTGTGGCGCGACAAGCGAGGCCACTGGCATTTCCTCGTGCACCACATGGTGGATATTGCTGTAGGGCAAAAGGGCCCGCGGGTGGGCGTGCATGTGTTTGCGAGGGACTGGCGTGGTCCGTGGCATTATAATAACATCACGCTAGCGTATAATACCACGGTGGAGTTTACGGATGGGAGCAGGGTGGATTACTATCGGAGGGAGCGGCCGAAGCTGTTCTTCAGTGAGGACGGCGAGATGACGCCCTTGTATTTGGTGAATGGGGTGCAGGAGTTTGGGAGTACGGCGAGTTATACGTTGATTCAGCCGATTGGGAGGAAGTGGAGGGAGTGTGAGCTGCAGTACGGTCAAGTTAAAGCAAGTGGATAATATCGAATATAGTTGCTCTTCAGCCCCATGAATGAACATTACGTCCAAACAGTGGTCGCTCCAATAGCCTCCCCAGACTTTGGTACCAAGAAATCACTGGCCTTGATCCGCCCATCCGCCTGCCTAGCACCCTGCACCAGACTCACATCCACGCTCTTGAAGCTACTATTCGACCACGATGCACTTCCATCCCACGAATTTCCCGAGGAAATCTGCCCCGAGCTCAGAGCGGTGGCGCTCTCCCCATTGACAGCAGCAACATTCCCCTTGAGCGTAGCCACAGCCGCGTTGAACTTGAAGCCCACCTTGGCATTGTTCCACGCCGTGTTGCGGCTCAGCGTGAAATCGCCCGTCTGCGAGTTATCAGTGAAGCCATCTTTGGAGTTCCCAAAGGCAATGCAGTTGGTAACGACGTGGTTGGTGGGGCCTATATCCGCTGCATCGCCGCCGCCGAGCTTGAAGCCGTTGCCGTCGCCTTCAAAGGGTGAGAAGCCCCACCTACATGGTCAGCTGCAGTAACTAGATAGACAAGTGACGGCGTACCGATTGTATCCATTCCCCCAGGAAATAGTATCCTGAATCGTCACGGCAGACTTGAATTCCCACAGATCCAAACCATCGTCGACGTTATTCCACAGTCTCGCTCCCTTGAGGAGGTTACCCTCGCCGGAGCCCTCTTTGCAGGCGAAGCCGTCAGCGCTCTCGCCATTTTTGCGGGGGTCCCTGTTGCCATAGGAGTCGAGGTAGAGGACTTTGTTGTTGGAGGACGCGCCTTGGAGTTGGAAGCCTAGAGTTACTCGTCAGCATGCTGCAAGTGTGCAGGCAAGGCAAAATACCAGTCTCGTAGTTATCCCTCGTGATGAGCCGCTCGTAGTGATTGTTCGACGCATCGCGCGCATACACGCCGTAGGGGCCGTTGATCAGCTCCAGGTCGTAGAACTGCCAGTAATTCGCGTTCTGGATGTGAAGGATGCCGCGGTCTTCGTTGGCGAGGGAAGCGTCCAGTGGTGCGGGCGTTCTATTTCATCAGCAAGTGACTAGTACAGATGTGAGTCAACCTACCCAGGCAGAGCTTCTCCATCGACGATGACCTTCTCTCTTTGATAGGCGCGCAAAATGTATGGCGTGCTCGCTGTGCCGCTCTTGGTGATCTGGATGTTACTGGTGGGCGAGTACGTTCCTCCACGGAGGTAGATGGTATCGCCTGGCTTTGCGAGGTTGACGGCGGATTGAATAGAGTTCAGGGGGGAGGTAATGCTCCCTGAGCCACTGCTGGACCCTATGGTAGAGACATAGATGGACGCTGCGAGCGCTGTGGGCAGAAGCCCGAGGACGATCTGGAAGTACTTCATTGTGGCCCTGATTGCCTCTTCACGGTACAAAGTACATCAGTCGACTTCTCAGTCTTTATATACCCGAGTCCCAGCCCATTGCTGGAAAAACAGGACACTCCCCGGGGCTCGAGAGCAGCCAAGACTCCATGACGGTATGATAGAATCTTCCGCTGCAGGGACTTTGCTTGGCGTTTCACCTTTCCCGGGTGTGATTTGTGCAGAATTTGGGGATATTGTGCCATTGTCCACGTATAGATATGGTCGTCACTTTCCGAGTGGAACTGTCGGCTCAAATGCCGTCGTGGAACCCGCTTTGTACTGTCTACGGGACGGGCAATGTCCGTAACTGACTCGTGGAATAATCAAATGCTGGCGATATTCGGGGATTGCTATTGCGTCGACCGAGATTGTTGCATCACATACAGTATGTTCCCTGCAGAATCCAGTCAATGACTACCTTGCCTCTCCTTCAACGCCCAGTCCAATAACTCCGGATACCACCGTCGTCCCACATCCTGATGACTCGTGATCCGATGGATCAGCGTTCCCTCGCCGGTCTTCCCCTGAAACGCTTTATTAAACGTAGCCTCCGCATCCGAGCGGACCTGCTGATCCTTGACCAGCTCCCTAATATGCGCTGGAATATCCAGGTGGATATCCTCCGCACACAGCTCCAGACTCATCCCCTGAAAAACAGGAAAAGAGAACCTCGGCCCCAGTGCCTTTCCGTCTGCATCCACAAAGCTCTCCGGTCGTAGATTCACTCGATGCGTGGTGGCCGTGCACACTCCCCCCGTGACTGCCTCCAGCGCCCGCCCGATATTCACCACCAGCGAGCCATCCAGCGGCGGCGCGGGGATCCAATCCCCGGATTTGTTCTGCACTTCAAGCCCTGAGTGAGGGGTCGCCTGCAGTAGGAAAGTGAGGAATTCCGAGTCCTTGTGGGCGCCGACGCCCTGCGCCTGGGAGGCGCTACTTGGTGGTGGATACTTGATCAGTTTGAGTTTGTGCTGCGGAGGCTGGTCGAAGAACGGGTACAGAGCGTTTGAGGGGAGATCCAGCGCTTCTGCAATGAGGGACTTGAATGCCTCTGCCAGGGGACTGATTTCAGCCAGGTATGCTTCGATGGCCTTTCGGAAGCCGGGGATGGCGGTTTCATCGGGCCACTGGTTTGGTCCCCGGATGTTTCTGTACAGGGGTTCATCTGGCCAGGGGGCTGGAAGCTCCATTGCAAACTATTATCGTTAGTCACTGCATACGTTGGTGACTATAGCCACTTACATCGAACTGCTCCCGGTAATCTGTTTTGGATGCGGTCGTCTCCGCACCAAGGCGGGAATAGCCCAGGAAGTGCTTGCTGTTGACCATTTCAATCTCGAACTTCTTTTCTAGCGGCAGATCAAATACAGCCAGGGCCTTTTCGATGAACGCCTGCTGGACATGAGGCGCGATTGGGGTGTGGACGAGATAGAAGAACCCCACATTGACCACAGCGTTACGCAACTCCGAGAGAAAACGAGGTTTTGTGTCTGGCGATGCGGATAGCAAGAAGTCGAGAACTGGAATGGTTGTAAATGACTGAACAGATGATGAGCCCATCGTGATGGTTTATGATATTGATGGATGGATGATGTTGTTGCAAAAATTTATGCTTTGATGCCCCGCGATGGCGTGATTCTCCGCCGATGCTTTACTATCTATAACCATGACTTTATACCGAGCTAGATCAGAGATCTACTTTGAGATAATCTGACTGCCTTAATATCATCAAGATAACCCTAACCAGTAATTATAGTATATACAAGGTTTGTCTACTACCGACCTAGTTGAAGACTTGTCGATAAGATCATCTACTTCAACCCAATCTAAGCAAAACAAATGCCCCACTCTGCAGATCGACAGCGGGATGTGTTTGTGTTACCATGACGAGGCTGAAATCCCCCTTGCTTTTCTATCCATCTCCAACTCAACTTCATCGTACTCATCTTCCATTCTCCTCACAGGAATCATGTCAATATCGGCAGTTCCATACAGGGAATTCCTTCGCCAGAAAGAAGCCGAGTTCTTTTCCTTGATTGATCGAGGAGCCATTTCGCCATGGCTGTTCCCGCATGATTTCCTCGTGCTGATCATTCCCATTTTAGCCCTTCTGATCCCCAACAAAGGCCAGTCATGGGTGGTCGCCATCAGACGCATAGCATTTGGACTCGTATGCTCCCTTGCAATTAAGAGCCTGCTGCACACGCGATGTCTCACCGGCGGAGGCACGGTCATCGGTTTCTACTACGGCTTTATCATCATCTGGAGTGCCTTATTCCTTCTCTTCAAGGACGTCCAGAACGAGTGTTTCCGGATTGAGCCATCGTCAGATGGGACGCTCTATTGGCAAGGCTATCCAGACTCGATATGCCACCGACTAAGCTGGCTTCTGGATATGTTTGGCAGTCTGCGAGGTGCAGGCTGGAACTGGAGGATTCCTGGACTACCTCCACTTCCAAAGATCAGGACCAAAGACCAGCAGACATACGCAGACGGGAAGGTGTTACCTCAGGACGCGCCATCGTCGACTTTCCTGAGGACCTCTTTTCTGAGGACAGCTCGCTACTACCTGCTTATGGATTTCTTGAAAGTCCTCACCATGCTGGACCCGTACTTCTGGGGGCTCATCGATGCTGCTCCTCTCTACCCCCTCGACCGGATATACCACTTCTCACCGGCGCTTTTACGGCTTTTGCGCGCAATCGTAACAGTCCTCTGGATCCGCACGAGCATGGCCTATATAGCCTCCATGGTGCCTCTCATCATCAGTCTGGCTGTCACTGTCTGTCCGAGTTTTCTCAAATGGACCCGGGTACCCCTCGACGCACCCTGGTTATATCCTCCTCTGTTCGGGAGCTTTTTCAATTTTAAAGCAGTCTTCGACTATGGCCTGGAAGGCTGGTGGGGCCGCCGTTGGCATCAGGCATACCGATATGCCTTCTCAGAGACGGCGCGTCATGTCGTCCCCAACAACTTTGAAAAAGACATGACCAGGTTTCTGAGGCATTCTGTCGCGTTTCTGTTGAGTGGACTGGTTCATTTCTGCGCTGTTCATACGCATTTTGTCGCCACAGACTCTGTGCATTTTGGAGCTCTACTCTTTTTCATGCTGCAGCCGCTGGGGATGCTTGCCCGAAGAAAGCTAGGGGGCGTATTATTCTCGGAAGGAAGTATTTTCTGGAGAGCATTCAACCTCATCTCGACATATGCGTGGTTATACCTTGTGATCGGTCCTTTTTGCGATGAACTGGCTGCCGCTGGGACATGGGCGTATGATGAGGCATGTCCGATCAGTATTATTCGGGGATTGGGCTTGATTGAGGGGGAGGGCTGGTTTGTGGGGACGAGAAGATATGTTCGGGTGTGGAAAGGGGAGAAGTGGTGGCAGACTGGTATGCAGCTCCTTTGATTTCTCTGCATCGGTATAAAGGTATGGTTAGGATAGATATGTGCGTGGTATATAAAGTCATGGATAGAGATAGTAACATCGGAGATCGGTCAATGCTGATCAAACCATGGTAACGCATCCCGCTGTTGATCTGCAGAGTGGGGCATTTGCTTTTCTAAGACAGGGCTGAACTAGATGATCGACCAGGTCGGTAGTAGACAAACCTTATATATACTAATTACCACTTAGGGCTATCTTGATGATGTTATTATCAGGCAGTCAGATCATCTACTAGATCCTTTAATCTACTGCTGGTGGTGTAAGTTGCAAAGTACCCCTGTCACTGACTCAAAATCTTACCACACAAAATATCAATACTAGGAATACAATATTCTAGGTATATAGGCTCGCAGGTAAAGACCAAGTTTACAATCCAAGCCAGGTCCCCTACGAACCAATACCATACAGCTTGACTTAGAGGCTTCCTTCTCTAGACGTAAGAGATAGTACTATCAGTAGGACCTTTGGAGCGGTTAGTCACAAAAGAGCATTTTTATAAATTTTCTGTAGTATACCGACCCCATTATATGATAAAACTGTAACAGTTAGGCTACATATGAAGTAATAAACTTGGAAATCTTGGCTTGGAAGACAGGATGACTGGGCAGGAAACTGGATTCTCCGATCTATGCTGGTGCAACTGGAGATCAAACAGAATAGGTCATTGCCGAAGGAGAGTACGTTTGCTAAAGTGCTGCGTGTTTGGGGCGGATATCGGGAGACGGCTTGGAGGTCGATGAATTGAACATCTGTCTGGTCGAGTACCTGGTCATCAGGGGCCATGAGACAGCCATCCCAGGAGGTGTCCTCTGTAGCTATATTGATCCCTCCCCTGAAGTAATGACAAGCATATTCTGGATAATGCCATAGGACTGCACAGCCAGGCTCCGTTTGACCGGTAAAAGCCACTTTGTTTCGTAACTGGTCTGCAGGAAACAATCTCCTCAACTCGTAGGAGATATGTCTTGTATAAACCCTTAAAGCAATCCTTGATTCCTCCATTTCCGGATTTATCTTGACTTTCCAGCCTCCCACGTACGAACCACGAACCCGTTATTAATAATCATCGGACCATCGTTCTCGCATTTCGGGAGTGATGCTTGCAGCTGTATGGGCAAACTCGGCATTGAGCCAGGGATCCCAGTCCCAATCAATCCATTCTAAAAATGCATATTCTTTGGCTTTGGATTCCTTCCACCGAAGGAGGGGTGAAATGTATTGTCCCAGAAAATTGTTCGATTCTAACGCAATAGGATCATCTCGCCTGCGGTTGAAAAGAGCATCTCCAAAGTCAACGAACACAACACGGAGCTGGTCGCTCTCTGGTGAACTTATGATGACGTTTCGCGGCTCGAGATCGATGAGCCAAATGTCCTTCTCGTAGATCCGGCTTTCGAGGTCCACAATTGACTTCAGAATACTTTGGCGAGCTGCCTGGGGGTATTTTCTCGGTTCAGCATCTGCCATCGTGATTCCTTGAATATGCTCGACCAGAATCATTCGAACTGTCCGTGTGTGGACTGAATCGACAGATAAACTCAAGGAGTAGGATCCATAGTATCTCGGGATCCCTTGACCTTGAAACTCGTTGAGGGCGATATATGCGTTGGCCTCATGAGTGTAGGATCTGTCCATGCAAAGGAATGGGTTGATGTACCCATCGTCATCGTTGTAGTAGAGAGGGTCGTATGCTTTTGCGACCAGTCGTGTGCCTTTTGGAGGAAGCATCTGGGATGTTGACTCACAGTCCAGTAATTGGACCGTGAATACCTGAGAATTGTGGCCATCGCCTCCTTTCAAGACGTCAATGACCTCTAGGCTGACAGTATCGTTTCCTTCTTTGCCAGGCAAGGGGGGGTGCTTTAGACATCGGTCGATTGGACTCAGGTGTCGTCTTTCCTTCCTGTCTCCTTTACTGTTTTTGCAGCAGTCTCGCACCACTGGCGTTGGGGCCGAAGCAGTGTGAGATTTAATAGCGAATCTCCACCCGGGAGTATATGGCACCGGAGGCTTAGGGAGCTCTGTTGATGGAGGCCCAAACATGGGCCAGTCTGATTGGGAGAAAGTCATAACAATAGGAGACTGCAATAACCTAGTTCAGTTACTTTTCTGTGAGAATGAAGACTACTGCTGGATGTTGGACGGAGAGGGATGAAACTAAAAGGGGAATCAGGGCCGCTGCGCCCCGGATATCCGGCATATTGATTCTCCGAGTGACGCGTGAAGGCGCGCGCTAACTTTATATGGATATATATATATAGATAGATAATTATGTTTATAGACACACGCTCCAATCGTCAGTAATATCTAACCGCCATAACGTAGGCCGGGGCCATGTGCCTGCCTGGTTGAGGACGACTTGTGTGCTAATAATAGGTAAACAATACACACGAGACAGAGTGCCAGGCGGCAAGACGAGACTGGAGGTATATAGATAGATTATCATTGTCTCATCTCCAAGACCAATTCATAGTATGTCAAACTATCTCGATTGATATTCTGCCTTGACAGATATCCGGTAAAAAACATTTTGGCCGGTTTTGTACATTCAGTCCGCGATGTTGGATTTGGTGGTATTTTTACAATGATTACATGCCACCACTCCCACCACCCCCTATAGTTGCACGCACTGAACTAATATCAAATACTATAGTATTAATATTAAATCTACTAGGGATGTCGACACCGTAGTATTAATATTGAATCATCATCTAGTATTAATATTAAATCGCCATTTTGATATTAAATCATCACCTTTATGTTAGGCCGTGGGAGGAGCCGTTGTCCCTACAGATAACTAGCTAGACATACAAAGCCACTTTGCCATATGCGTGCTCAACGAGGCTGGGGTGAGAATGGAAGAGTATTGGCAAGTCTTTCCTAGTACTAGAATATATAATTAATGGAGGCGGTACTGTCTCCGCTAGAATTAGGATATATACTTGAACCCTCTTACAGTCAATTATACTTGGGGATAGTTCGGACAGAATCCTTCCCATCGGGAGTAAAAAAAAAAAGAGCTTGCAAGTCTTACTACCATATACATAATAGAGTATAACAAAATATCTGTACTTCTGATATACGTTTCGGCAAAATGATAAAAAGACAAAGGTATTGTGCTAGAGATATGCAGGGATACCAGCCCCCTATTGAACCGCCCTATGGCCCCCTACGCAGACGGGTCGCTTCGTAGTTCTTCAGTGACCGAACTCCAAAAGCAAAAAGAAGGCGACGGAATGTCGTGCCCCCTGTGCGTCCACGTTCATCAAAGTAGATTCCACGCACTGGTTGGGGTGTTTGCGGCAGGAAGCTGAAAAGGAACATAGCATTCCAGTCAAACAGCGCCACATAGGGGCAATGATCCGCATACTTTCGGGCTTGCTTGGAGAGCCAAAAAGCGTTGCCCCGAAGAAGGGTTGAATTTTCTTCATCCACAGCCTTCGCCATCTTCGACCGAAAGTTTCTCTCGTCGACAGCGGCGCTCTTGAAGTCATCTTTGTGTAGAACATTGGTACTTTTGACCTCTAGGATAGCAAGCTTAGACAGCAGAGCACCCCGAGAGTCGTGTAAAGACCATTCCATGTCGAAGCGGCTCGTACCGCCGGTGGATCTTTCTGAGCGACACAATATTCGAGTGCCAGGTGGGCATGTCTGCTGCAGTGCGATGTTGACGGGATGGATAAGCTGTAGGGTGGCAAGCCGCATAACATCGGCTTCGGTGTCCAGTTGATGTGTCTGTTCCAGGATCGGCATTCTGGCGGATAGTGGACTGGCAGGGCCAATACGTGGGAAATGCCGATCGAATAAGTGATGATAGGTATCGATGGCCTCTTGGAAATAGACAGCCACTGGGTCTTCCCGGATGGTAGACGAAGCAGGGCTTCGAATAGGACGGTACGGTCCATTGGAGACAACTATGGGTAATTGTTCCTCGAAGGCCCCGCTGATTGTTGACGATGATGGGTCCATGATGGCAGAAACTTGTAGACAGTCTCGAAAGGGACGTCAAAGCAGGATATCAATCAAGATAGTTTGACATACTATGTGTAGAATGAGCAGAGAGAGGTTCAGAATATGAAGATATTTCATTAATTCATTATGTATGTAAATCTATGTTTACTATTATATAGTGGAAGGAGCTATCTACTAAGTAAGATTATATAATTAGATCTCTGCTATACTGAGTATAGCTATACACCCCTAGATTTAATTAATAAGGTTATAGCCACTTCCTAATTAGGTAGTTAATCTATAATTATAGTATTAAGATCTACTATTTATAGTACTCTACTAGGCTAAGCCTAGTGCCTTAAAGAATTAATTAAACTTTAGATAACTAAGTAGCTTTATTATAAGATCTATAATTATCTTATTTATTAAAAGATACTATAGGAAGACCTACTTCTTAACTATTATATCTCTAATCTAATAATAATTAATATTAATATACTTACTATRTRYATAGAATTAAGYATTATAGGCTAGGTCTATAGYAGGCTAGYTATTAGTATTAATCTATATAGGATATATATTATTAAAGCTAATATCTTTAAGGAGATAGATAAGCTAGATAGCTTTCTTTATAATATAAATAATAGTAATATATTTAGCCTTATATATAGATAAAGAGATAACTAATTATAGCTTAGAAGCCTATAAAATAGGCCTATTACTAAATATAAAGATATATCTAGTAGTTAAATAATATATATTAATATATCCTATATAATCTATATTAATATAACTAATAATAATACCTAGCTTATATATAATATCTTTTGTATTATAAGGCTTATAGATAATTCTAATATCTAGGGTCTAATAGAAGAATTAAATAAGATAAATAAGATACTTAAAATATAATTTATTAAGATTTATAGTATATCTAKCTAGCTTCCTAATAGTAAAGGCAGTATCTAGCCTAGTCTATAATATTAGATATATAATTAAGCTAACTCCTACTCTATATCTCTCTTTAAATTTAAGATTATATTTAATAGGCTTATCTAATTTAACTAGCTAAGCACCTTCTTCTATAGGTATTACTATAGTTTTAACTAAATATAGATTAAATATATTAATAAGATATTAAAGGTAAGTATATTAAGATAGCTTAATCTATCTTTTCTTAATATCTAGGTCTATCTTTATGTCTAGATAATAGATAGCTAGGCTAATAAGTAAAATATTAAATAGTTTATTAATAGCTTTATATACCCTCTTAGTAATCTACTTAGAAGGTCTAGTAATCTTTATATTATTAATATATAAGATAAGGAGCACACTATAGATATTAAAGAAGAGATATTTATTAATCTTAGATAGCTATAATCTAATCTTAGTAACTCTACTATAGAAGATAAGATACTAGGCATATATAGACTACTTTAATCTATATAAAGAAAGTAATAGTCTATATATATAGCTAGACTTATTATTAAAATCTAGTAGCTACTTTATATAGATAACTTTATTATTAAAGAATTTACCTTATAGGAAAGTAAGCTTAATATCTATCTTAATATAATAATAGCCTAAGATAGCTATAAGTATAAAGAATAGATAGATAGTTACTAGCTTTATAGTAGAGAAAAATATCTAGTTAAAGTCTACTCTAGATATTTAGATATAGCCTTTAGTAACCTATCTTACCTTAAATTAGATAATCTTATTATTAGTACTAATCTTAATCTTATAGACCTAACACCCCTTAATAGCCTTATAGCTAGTAGGTAAGGCCTTAAGTATCTAGATATCTTACTTAATAAGATTATCTACTTCTACTTTTATAGTATTCTACTAATTATCTACTTTAGGAGAGTTAATTACCTTATAGAAGGAAGAAGGCTTAATAATATTAGTATAATTATTATTAATATATATATACCTAATAATAATATAATTCTATATATATTTCTTTATAGCCTTAGTATTAATATAATACACCCCCTATTCTATAAGCTAAATTACTTCTAGCTAGGAATATTCTAGAAGGTCTTTCACTAGCTTACTAAAAAGACCTCTATATAGGAAGTTAATATCCTTAGTAATACTAGGACCTACCTCTATATATATTTATAGTATAGGGATGCTATCCTCTAGTCTAGGTAGATTAGATATAGTTAGATTCTAGCCTTTAATAATATCTTAATCTAAATTATTATTACTAATAACCTTATTTAGATTATAGTTAGTAAGTGGAATGGCTAGTAGATTAATAAATTTTCTATAATTATTATCTAGATCTCTATAGAGATCTAGATTACTTCCTTCTTTAAAGATAATATTATAGATATATTTAACTTTATTAATTACTAGTATCTAGATAATATATTACTTGCCTAGGCTAGTGTAGCTAACTAAGTAGTAGTAAATAATATATAGATTAATCTTTATAATACCCTGCTTAGATTTAATCTTATTAGTAATAGTAAGATATCTAACTAAACCTAAGATCTATAGGGAGCTAATATCTAGATATTTACTAAAGTATATTTTATATAGAGTTATATTCTTATCTTAAATAGGTAAGATATTCTTAATTAAAATAACTCCCTTTATAATTTTACCCTAGAGTTTATATAGAATAGTTTTATTATTAATAATAGTATATACTTTTATTAATATAGTATGCATAAGGCATTCTATAATAGGGTTCTAACTATAAGTATATAGTACTATAAGTTCCTATTTAATTAATTTAGCTCTAGCCTATACTTAATTCTCTTTCTTAATAAATTCTTCTCTATTATTAGTATAAATAATCTATATCTTAATACCTATATACTTCTCTTCTTTAATAAAGAGCTTAATAAGTAGTATTACTTAGTATCTAAATTTAAGTAATTAGATAGTAACCTAGCTATTAAACTAATCTATAATAATTATCTAATAGTAAGCTCTAATAATATAGTTATCTAGTATATTATTATAGCTACTACCTATATTAATAAAGATATATTCCCTATATTACTTAATAGGAGATATAGTAATATGCCCCTTATAGACTATTATATTAGCTACTATATAGGACTTATAGATATATTTAGGAATTAATAGTCCCTTAATATCTATTCTATTAACCATTTTAGATATACAGATGATATTAGGAATAGATAAATATATAAAATAGTAGTGCTAGGTTATTAAATTAACCTTATCTTTCTTTAATATATAAATACTAGCATGATTACTATATAGTAGATCTAAAATAAGTATATATTACTTACTCAGGACCTCTTATCTAGTCTAGATATTAGTTTTAATATTAGAATAAGGTTTTACTAATTCTTACTTAGCTTGCTTATAGTCTTCCTGTAGTAAGTAATCTTACTAAGAGAATAGCTAGTTATTACCTCTCTTAGGGTAGTAAGGGAATACTATTAACTATATTTTAAATAATATATTAGGCTTAGTTAGTTTAACTAGCTTATTAGCCTTAATAGCAGCATTGCTTCCCATAAGGTAAAGAATATAGGTATTCTAGATAATATCTCTATATCTAATAATTATTTTATCTAATAGGTAAGTAATAATAATACTATCTAGTAGAAGATTAACTCCTAGACCCTTATAGCCTAATCTAATAGTRCCTAAAAGGTTAACTACYAYYTTAGRGATRTAGAGAATATTAGTAATAATAATATATCTAGTATATCTACCTAGATGTATAAGATATAAGATGATATCCTTAATTAAATTAGAATATATAATTTACCCTATTACTATCTTAATTCCCTATTTACATAGCTTCCTTAAGCTATCTATAAAATTTATAGATATTATAATAAAGTATTTAGTAGCTCTAGAGTTAATTATCTAATTACTAGTACTAGTGTGCAGGCACAGAGCTAGATTAATAGTAATAATTATTATCTATATATCTTTAATATCTTATTTAACTAATTAGGAGGTAAGGATGCTATTATTATTAATTAAATTATTATTAGTAGGGGTAAGGACTCTATTATCTTTATTATTAATAGTATAGAAGGTAAGTATTATTTCTTTAAGTATTAAAATAGTTAATTATTAGCTATTTAATATATTATTATTAGTACCTATTATATAAGTATAATTATAATAATTAGTTTAATTTAATTAATTAGATAAATTCTTTTTATTAGGCTTCTTATCTAGATTTAACTCCTAGTAGTTAGGCTTCTTATAGTCTATTTTATTATAATAATAATATTTCTAGTTCTTCCTAGTTTCCTAAGGCACCTTGCTATTAGAATCTTTCTAGTTATTTAAACTAGAATTAGAATTTAACTAATTTAATTAGTTTAATTTATTCTTAGAATTACTACTCTTCTAAGCTAGTGTACAAGGGATATCACATAGCACTCTGAAGAGTAGGTTAAGCTTTATTATAATTAGGAGTTATAAGCTAGGTCATGTCTAGGTTAGACATAAGTTTAACTAGATAGAAGAGATATTATAATAGAAAATAATTTATTTATTTCTTAATTAGTAATTATAATCTTCTCTTAAGAATAATATAGTAGGAAGAAGATCCCTCTACCTTTAGTAATAATATTATTATTATCCTAGTTATCTACCTTAAGGGTTATACCCTAAGATAGATATAAGTAATTAGCTAAAACTAATACTATCTTTCTCTACTATATTATCTCCCTCTCTTACTATCTTATTACCCTTAATAGATCTCCTAAATTAAGAAGTTCTATCTTTATTATAAGACTTAGTATTATCTCTATTACCTTTATTATTATCTCCTTTTCTATTATTATCCCTATTACTATCTCTCTTTCTATTATTATTATTACTTTTATTAGGCTCCTTTCTATTATTATTAGCTATATTAGTAGTATTATCTCTATCTTTCTTATTATTATTAAGATCTATATTACTAGTACCCCTAGTAAGATCTAGTAGAGGAATATTATTATTTCTTTTATTTAAGGTAGATATAAATTTATTTACTAGAGTCTTAGATATAATTATAA